CATGTTCTTCAAGTGTTCTGCCAAAAACAATTATGTCGTCAAGGTACACTATCACTTGGAGAAGGTGCATATCCCCCACAGCTTTCTCCATAAGCCGCTGAAAAGTGGCAGGTGCTCCAGTGATACCTTGCGGCATTCTTTCAAATTGGTAGAACCCAAGAGGGCAGACAAATGCAGTCTTCTCCTTATCTTGCTCGGACATGGAAATTTGATAATATCCACTCCTAAGATCAAGGACTGAAAACCATTTGCTGCCTGTGAGACAATCCAAGGCATCGTCAATACGAGGGATGGTGTACTGGTCTGGGATGGTACGACTGTTCAAAGTCCTGTAGTCAATGCAGATTCTAACTGAACCATTCTTTTTTCGTACTACTACAATAGGTGAAGCAAATGGGCTACGCGACTCTTTAATGATACCCGCAGCTAACAACTGTTGTAAGTGTTGTCGCACATCTTCAATGTCTGCTGGAGCTAACCGACGTGATCGTTCTCTAAAGGGAGTAAAGTCACTAAGGCGGATGTGGTGTTCTACATTCTTAGCTAAACCCACATCCCATTCACCTAGAGAGAAAACATTTCGCCTCTGAGCTAGCTTTTGCTGTAACCTTTCCTTCCACTCTTTGGGGACCGGTGAATCACCAAAATCAAAGAGTTTGGGATCTAAAGTACTAGTCTCAGGCTCTAGAGCTTTAGGGTCAGTGACTATGTCTACTTCATGCATCTCAGCGAGAACTGTGCCAACTTGGATAGAGGTAGGTTTATGTGACTCATTATGCAATAGGACTGTGAAACTGTTCTCATCTATGTCACTCTCTGGGAGAACACTTGGCTGCACTAGCACGCCAGATGGTAATTGCGACATAGCTGGTGCCTCAACAACGATGAAATTGTGAGACTTGGTAGCTTTCTGCTCTACTTTGCAAGTGGCATAGAACTTTTCATTAGCAGCAATGGTAAGTGGCCCTGGACCTTGCCATTTCACTTGTCCTATGGGATTGTCTGCTGCATGGGACTTCAAAGACTGAGTTTGGATTTTGTCATAAACTGCTTGTATTTTCATGGAGCTGACTTTACAATCACTACCGCTTTCTTTACACAACTGGAATAGACGGCGGAACAGGAAAGCATTTGTACCCACCACTACAGGGGTTTCATGACCTTGTGGGGGCTCAGGACAGATGAGAGCAAGGGTGTTAAGTGGCCCTTTAACACCTACTACATCCTCAGGGAATTCCATGTCTACTATTACATACCCACAGTATGGAAAAGACTCAGCTGATAGACCCCAGATAGCTAGACTGGAAATAGGATGTATTGGAACTGTTGGTATGTTGGCGTTATACCAGTCCTCAAAGATGATTGTCACTGTTGACCCAGAATCCATAAGTCCGTTGCAGGAGATGTTATTAACTTTAATAGGTGCGATCGATGAGGGACCAATTAGACCTTCAGGTATGTCTGCATTTTGAGTCGGGACACTGGCAGTATTGACATGAGCGACACACTGATCTTGATCCTCTGTACTTTTATTTTGTCCATCTTTACTTCCATGTACCTGATGAATTAGCTTTTTGATCACCTTTTGAGCATTTTCCGGAGCTGTGCATTTATTTGCAAAATGCCCGTTTTCTCCACACCTGTAGCAAAAATAATCTCCGCCTTTGCTACTCTTTGAATTATAGGAAGGTGACTTTGGACTGAAGTCTGCTTTGAACTTGCGGTAGGGGCCTTGGTCTTTTGCATATTGCTTTGGCTTTACTGACATTACACTTAACTGTGTTTTTAACTCTGAAACTTCTTTCCTTAACTGTTGCACTTCTTTGCTTGCGTCTGATTTGTCTTTTTTCTGTTCTCTGAACTCTTTCTTTTGACTTGACTCTGTGGGCTTAGACTGCTTGTTAAGCTCTTTAAGCTTTGCTTTTAGCTCTTGAACTTCAGACTGAAGATCAACTTGCTGACACCCTTTCGATTCTGTCTCACTTATGGTCTGCACTGAATGCACATACTGTCTTTGTGCTGGTTTTTTAAATTTTTGTCTGGCTGCTTCACGCTCCTCTTCTTCGCGAATCTCTTTCAGTAGGTTTAGAAATGATGGTGGGTCACTTCGCCTATCTCTTAGATTTAGCTGAAGAATCATGAGATCAGATTCAGTTGCACCTTTAATGAGTTGCTCTAACCTTGCTTTATTGGCTTCACTTACTGTTAAGCCTCCTTTTTGAAGCACTTTATTTAGCGTTCTTTCCAATCTCAGCAAAAAATCCGACAAGCACTCATGTTGTCTTTGGTGCATGGATCTGAATGTGAAGTACAGTTCTTCTCCAGATTCTGAGGTTCCAAATGTACTTTCTAATGCCTGTATATAATCTATATGGCTGGCATTGGGATTGGACAATCGTACTTCTTGTATTATCTCCAAAGCTGGTCCTTTGAGACTCTCAATAATCCTCCGGCGCTTTTCTTTGTCTGACCATTCATATTCTTCACTCATGAATTTTGCTTGTTCTAGCCAACTGTCTAAATTGTCTTCTCCAGGCGGAGTAGGATGGACTCCAGAGAAGGTTCTTAGACGCCTGTAAGAACTACTTTCATTTGGCTTTGGCTGCAAAACATCACCTACTGCACGAATGATTGACTCTGGATTGCTGTTCCATGAAGTTGTAGGAGAACATAGTCTTTCAATGTCATCCATCGTTTTCCCTTCATCCCGTAGAAATTTGTTTAATTTCTCTGTGAATGGGTCTGAGTTTGTTTCTTCTTCTGCAATCACTATTGCCCATTTTCTTCCTTCTATAGGTGAGATCACTTCTAGTGGAACTTTAGTGGAGTCTACCTCTTCACGGCATTCACATAACATGGTTAGGGTTTGGTTATTGGCATCAAACATCTTGCCCCTCACTCTTACCTTGCCCAAGGCTTTTATTTGCTCAAGTGTTGCTTCGACTGTGGATATCTCCTCATCTTCAGGTACTCCAAGCACTAGAATGGCATGTGACGGATCCAGCCCTTCACCCCTGCACCAGTTAGCAAGATCGGGTTGTGCGCTCTGTTTTTTAGTGGCCATAGTTTAATCAGTTTCTTTCTTTCTTAATTATTTTATCTTAATTTTTTTTTTTCAAGGGATTACAGTAAAGGTGGCTTTTTTAAAACTAAGATTAAGTTTACTAACTTATAAGCATACCATAGATTAAGGTTAAGACTGACGAAAACTGGAATGAAACAACAAAATTTTATAATCCCAGCGGTGCCTCCAATTTGTGTAGCACCCAACCCAAGTAGTTAGGCATTAACTCTGTATTAATGTTATGGTACTACTATAGGTGGGGCCCTGGGTACGCTACTTACAACTAATATTGTTAAACAGGAGAAATAATAGTAAATAGTCTTTTAACTGTATGTAGTAATTTAGAGTTTTTGATATTGACGGTGCCTCCACTTAGCAGGATTTATATATGCAACTCTGTATTTAAACCCACTAAGAATAATGAATTTATCTTTTAACCCCTTTAATCTTTCCTTTTTTATCCTTGAATGCAACCATTACTTTTAAACCTTGGTAAATAATTATGACACAACACAAATAAATTTAAATATATGGATAAATTTTAGTAAAAACTTAAATTATAATTCGGGAAAAAATAAAATAAAAGAGAAAATGTTGAAAAGAAAGTGTCCAAGTTTTTTTTTTTAAGTGTCTCAGTACACTTACAATACTTCAAATGTCTTCACAGACTCAAAATAACAATTTAGAAAATGATATTCTATAAATTTCTTCCCTTAACCAGTCCAGATATGTAATTTATCTGTGCTCAGATTTAATAAACCGTTGCAGGCCTGGTTGTTGCTTGGGTTCGTTGGGACCAGAAAACAGAAAAAGGCCGCTTCACTTGTTGAACAAGCAGAAAATAAAATGCACGTGCTTACTCACAAAATCCTTTTGGAATAGGTACGAGATCTGATGGAGGTCAAGCCATGTCCATGCCAAACTGAAACTCTTCAACTTGGTTGGAGTTAGCTTCACACTCGAGAGTTGGAAGTACACCTTGAAGAAACTGCGACAGGTCTATCCACAGCAGAAGAGTCCAGAGAATTCCTCCCGGTCCATCATCAAAGGGTAAAACAGTCCAAAAACAGGAACGTAGACTCTGCATCCACGGCTATTTTTTTATGATTCTCCCCTTAGCTCTGATGAACAGCCTCCTCAGGCAAACCCAGTAACCGAGTGCTATAACCTAGATCCCGCCCTCTAACACATCTGATTGGATATTCAGTTTACATCATCCAATGTGATCAGAGAAATTACAAGATTGACAACTTAACAAGTCAGGTTGTAAACAAGATTCAAGGCAAACAAACTTAAGGCAACATTAACATTAGTATTCAACAATTAAATTGACAAAAAAACAAAAAACCTGTTGTTTGGATTTAAACTATTTATGAACACTTTTTAATAATTGATGAACTTTTATTTATTGTTATTTTAAACAGATTTTAAACACATTTTAACTTGATTTTTAATATATTTAACCTAGTAGTCTGAAATAGATTTTTTTTTTTAGATCAGGCTACAAAAGCTACAAATGTTCAGCCAAAGTAGCTTTAAAAGAACATCAAAGTTTCAATCAAGACCACTTTATAAGCCTGACTTTTCAAGACTTTTTCAATGTATATACTGTATATGGTGTAGAAAAGTGGCAAATGCATGCAAATTAACAAAATATCAGCCAAATCTATATATGTGCAATTTAAAACTAAACTATACTCATTATTCTAAATATTTAAAATCAAAAGTCCACTTTCAAAAAGAATTAAGAATTTCACGATAATGATATGATTTCCTAATAGCTGCTCCTCTTAATAAATAATTCCCTACATGTTCACATAAATAATGCATTAATGGGTCATGCTCTGTTTAGCTGCAGACTCCTACTGAATCTCACGAAAGGTTTCTAATCAGCTCTACATTTATTCCCAGGAATTCCCCTTGCTGCATTCATCACCTTATCATCCAGCTGCTTGTACAGTTTGCAGATCTCTTCCTCATACATGTGTCGTTCTTCTTCAGAGATATGAACCACAATAGATGAGGCTATGGAGCAGGGGCTGCAAGGGGTGCAGGGGGTGCACGGGCTGCATAATTCAAGAGTTGGCTCTTCAAAAGCCAGAGGCACAAAGGGGGCGTCCTCAGATCCTTCACCCAGCCGCTCTAGAATAACATCACCTATAAAGGCAGAAGGTAAATATTTTTTTCAATGTGTTGCCCTTTGCTTAACCAAACAAACCTCTAAGGATGAAAACATGAAGAAAGATAATGAGGTTTATCTTCTCCATGCTTCCACCTAATAAAATAAACTTGAATAATGGATTCAAAATGGTTCGGCAGGGGAGACATCTTTTCTAATACTGCCACCTAGCATTAGCTTAAATGACTTAGCAGTGATATTAATAAGAAAAAAAAAACATGCTGTTTTTGCCCAAAAAACATTAACCGTCAGAATTTACAAGATGTGCTTCTGAAAGGTGTAAAAGCTAAACTATGACACAAAACACAAAGGAAAATGAGGAACTGATGGTAATTATAGGTTTACTTGTATTCAAGCTTTTTTATTGTACTTAAAATTACCTTTTACATAAAAGGTAAAAATGCTAAATGCATCAATGGCAAAAATTATTTTAACATTTTCAATGCAATTTTTTAACACAGTAAATTTAATCCCAACTTAAAGATTTAGGGGTTCATAGTCATGACATTTTACATATCACTAGCTCACTCCAGTTGCAGACAGTTATCTAAAAGATGACTCCTTGGTTTGAGCTTGTTTTGCTCAGTTTGTTAGTATATGAAGCCCTCATGTATATTCATGACATAAAACAAAAGAGGTGCAATATTGCAAATGTACACAGGGTAAAAACTAAGTAATGGGAGTTAGCACTTCCCGGTGGAGGTGTGAAAATAATGAAGGTCCAAGATCCAGTGTTAAAAAAACGCAAAAAAAGTGTCTGATCTCAAGAGTTATAAAATTCATATGCTCAGAAAACAGTATGAATGTTGGTACTCACTGAGGCGCTAACTAAAGCTGTAGAGGCATTTATTTGTTGCTGGGGAGTTGGTGATGAAGTTTTACTTCAACTACTGAAAAAAGAAGACTTAACAGATTAAATTCAGCGCTCGTCAACAGTGCATATGTACCGATAAGAGGCTCTGAGAAGGATTCACTAGAATTTAAAATGGGGCAGATGAGACCAAGCTGTCGCTTTATCAGCCATCGCAGGACAGTCAGGCTCTTTTAATTAGCTTCTTCAATCGTCACCTACTGGCTTTCTGATTGCCTGGTGCTCGAATTCTATTTAGGCTCGAAAAGGACTATCAAAACACAATAAGGATGGATGTTTGGTGTATATAACCTTATTTTATCATATGATCAAATAGTTTTTTGTCTTTTTTTTTTCCATAGACCTATAATTGCCGTGTTCCCCTTTAAATTGGAAGTATATTTTCTAAACATATTAGTTGAGTCTAATATCAAAAAGCAATCTGATAAACAAATAATGATTTGTTATATTAAAGATTCTTTACTTAATTATGACTTGATGATTTTTTTTATTATATTTTCTATCAATATAAGGCTTTTAGTCATTTATATGATGAAAAGGAAAACAACTGAGTCAGTTTTCTGCTGTTTTTTTATCCACATCTCTACGCTAGAGCAGCTTTGAGTGACTCACACTTTAAATCTGCTGTCTATGAGTAGTCACAATGCTTGAAGTAAAGATCTTTTAGAAGACATTTCATTGTCACATTCCTTTGCCAATAGTTCAACAATCCCTTCTGGTTTTAACACGTAATTGTTCAACATATGTATAAGGAACTCTTTATAGATCATGTCTGTCAAATCAAGTGGGTGAAGGGTGTGAGCAAAACATTGTTTGCTCTTTTTCCTATGCATATAACTTCTACTTGCCCTTCTGCCTATCTACGACAGAAAACCAATCTACTAGAAGCTGGTGCCAGATTGCACTTTAAAAATCTGCAAGCAATTACAGAGCGTCAGACCTGGAGGAAAGAAAAAGAATCCTTCTTGCACCTTCATTACTGAAGTTTCCAATATCATACGCATCATCATTGACTCAATATTCTTTAATCTCTGTGTGAAATGTTATTGTAGTCAATACGATTAACTTTTTTTTTTATTTTGTTGTGATTGCAGAAATCCCTGGCCAAGTTTTAATTTGTTTGTTTTTGTTGTATTTTGCCCTTCTACCTTAGCAAATGTAGAAGGGCAGGGTTTATTATTTGGGAAGCATCTCACTGATTAAACACAAAGATATCATATAGAAGCTTATAAAGTCAGTCACACAGAATCAGACATTGCACTTATTTGTAGCCTTAAAAAAAAAATGAACTTGCAGGGTCTCCTCTGTGTCTTGTGGCCATCTCCTCGCAGTTTCCTCTATTGCAGGTTGCTTAAAGTGAAGTATATTCTGAGCAGAAGAAAAACCACATCTTGGTCCAGTATTGTGTTTTTTTGTGCTAAATTAACTTTTTAAAAGCTAGCATTGTTTTCTTTCCTGGATTGTAAAATTAAAATTGAACTGACTTGGACTTGGATCTCTATCCTGGTAAACCATCTGCTTTCAGAAATGCAACAACTGCAATCAAAGCAAATGTTCCTGTTTAAGACAGTAATAACTTCACCTGTTGGGCAAATCTTTATTAAAGAGCCCAGTAATGTAGTGCTGGAGGGAGGAGAACAGCAGTCACCTCAGAGAGGCCAAAACCAGAAAAAGACAACAGTGAAAGGAACTGTTGAAAGAAAATTGGGGCAAAGAATCTGTCAAAATGATCTACAAAATGCTATAAAATGTAAGTTCAACGGTATGAAACTATAAAAGAAATAATTTCTGCTCATCAGTGTTCAATAAAGATGTATTACAGTTCATTAAAATGCAGGTCAAGTGCTGGGGGAAATTTCTTCACAGTAAACAAAGGGCAGAAATTTGATTCATAGCCTGAACTTCAACCAATCATCACCACTGAGCCCACTGACATTTAAATGTCTAACAGATGAGAGTGGATGGACATCATTGTAAGTTGGTGTGTGAAAAGAAATGCTGATGTTTGGGTGTGATTATATGTGAGAAAACCACTCTAAGTTATGAGTTTTCCAATTGTAAAATGGCCAGGTTATCATTAAAACACAGGGATCCATAAAACAGGAATTTGGGTGCAGTGACTTATCCCAGTACATTGTAATGGGAAATACAATTGGACAAAGTATAGGAGTTTGAGGAAAATGCTAACAGAGATAGACAAAACGGAGTGTTTATGTGTTCTTGGCACAAGTCCAACAAATCTGTTCGACTACCCTTTTCCTATATTTCCAGAGACAGGTATTCAGATTAGATCAAATAAGGTTAAATCTGCCCAAATGTGGAAGGAAAAGCAATGCCTTTGGGCTGTTAAAAAATGTATTCTTGTAAGTGAAAAGTCATCCATGCATAAAAAGGGACCGGAACAGGGAGATGTTTTGTAGTGATTTCTATCTGCAGGTCTTCTCCAGCACCGCCACCATCTTTTCAGCTTCAAGTATTGCATTTTTTTATTCAAGTCATAACTTTTAAATAGAAAATGGATTTAAGGTTCTATCATAAAATTGAGCAGGATATCAATGCCTTGAATATGATATATGATACAAATATGGGGGAATTTAGAAAAAAATTAAATAATAGATAATAAAAGTATATATGGGAAAAAGAATAGTTTAATTATTCCACTTGAAATGAAGTGCTAAAGGTGTAATGTGCCCCCTGTGTCCACTCTTATCTAATGAACTTTTGATACTCTGTTTAGTGCCTTGAAGCGACATCGCTAGACTTCAACATTTAAGTAGAACACTAAAAATTTATATTTAATCATTTTTACAGAATTGCTTAATGACAGCAAAGTGAATGTTTTGGAATGTCCATCAAAGAGCTCTTATTTCAGTCACAAAAAAATTGGGTTTGTGTATGCTAGGTGGCCTACAAACTTGACATAGTTAGTTGCATCATTTCTGTTTAAAATACTGGGTCTAGATTTTAGCCAGCTATTGTTAGAGGAATTTAGGGTACTAGAAGGATACTCTAAATGTTTGACCACACTCAAACTGTTTAAAAGCCAAGCAAGAGTAAAAATAAGGTAAAAGAAAAGAGCGTAAGGAGAACCTAAAAAAAATAACTACATAAAAAATACTATTCTCTAACATTATTCTGCCATTCAGTAAACAGACAGACTTTTGATCATTCTGAACTATTCAATGTTTAATGGTGAATTTAATGTAGCATACCACTGACTGTGATATGCTACATTGTATCCACAGGTGCCCTGGGGCAGACTGACAGAAACAAGGCTACCATACTATTGGCACCACTGGGTCCTATGACCACCAACAACAGGCAAGGTGAATGAAGTATTTTGCACGAGGTCACAACCACCGACACAGACCGGCAACTGCAAGTCCCTCCTGAGCCACAGTCAAACCAATAATTTGACTGGCCTCTAGGGTTGTCAAAAGTATCGATACTCAAAAAAGTATCGATACTGAAACGTTGTATCCGGATACAATACTCATTTTCAAAAGTATCGAGTACCAGTCGCACCTAAACAGTCATTCATCTAAAGTGCAGAATAGAGGAAAATGCACTTTCTGAACACTGTGATTGAATAATTCTGTGCACTTTTCAGTTTCAGACTTTTTTTGTAACAGTTGCAGCTTCTGAGAATTATTTTTGTTTCTTAACCGGTTTGGCTAGTGTCATTGTTATGTGTGCAAAGCATAGCCAAGTAAGGAAAACTTCATTTTAATTTTGTAAGTTTAATACTGTGCACAGAAAACAACCTCAAAATGTTGTTCTTATTGTTTATTGTATTCATTTATTTATTGTATTTTAATTAATAATCAAAATATTTCAGTTGAAATTTTATCCTTGTGGTATCAAAAATGGTATCGAGTATCGAATATTTTCCTTAGTATCGGTATTGAGTTGAAAAGTTTAGTATCGTGACAACCCTACTGGCCTCTATAAATTATAACACTTAACAATCAAGAGACCTATAATGACACGTGATTGTTCAGTGTAGCTGCATGAAATGGTTTGAAAAGGGAGTAGTTCTGGAAAAATGTTAACAACCAGGAGGTTGTTGGCGTACAAATTGGCAAAACACTGATGTGCCCAAAGCCTCTTATCAGTGGAAGGTTGATGCTTTGACACATGCTATCAAAAATCATGAGAACTGTAACACAGGATGTTTTGTGTCTGCTTTGTGTTGATTCACAGAGATATAGGTAACTTACTTCTACAAGAAATTATTCAGAACATTATTAAATTATCTTTGTATTTTCTTCTGTATGAAAATGGGTTTAAATTAGTGGTCTGTCAACAGGAGGGTGCTAATACTATAAAGCCTTATTCTCGGATATACAGTATGCTTATATTAGATTTCATTACACTTGAACTGGCAGCCCACAACTATTTAATGAAGCTACTGCCACTTGTTTTGTTGAAAATGTCAACATTTTCCTATTCTTTCAAACACAAACAGCCGTTTTCACTGTTTTCTTGTTGAAGTATATCTGAGCCAAAGTAATCAGTGCAAGCATTACCGTTCTTCCAGCGGTTCAGCTCAGCTTCAAGTCTTTGTATAGTCTCCTTCATCGACCTGTTCTTCTCCTTTTCCTTCTCGTACTTCTTCTTCCACTGCTCTGCAGTGAGCTCCAGATTCACTGTGACCGTATTTCTAATGGTCTTGGCTCTAATTAGAGGGGATGCAGCACAGAGAAGGAAGGGATTGCAATGAACGACAGGAAAAGAAAAATTGTGGAGGAAAGAAGTTGAAAGAATAGAAAAACGGTATGAAGAGAGGGAAAAGAAAATGTGAGGCAACACAGAAAAGGTCTGGCTGCAGAGTGAAAATTGGCTTCCATCTCATTAATTGGTATGCAAACTGGGTATGTGGAAACAGTGTTTAGTGTGAATAGGGCGACAGAGCTATAGAGGCCTGATGCTTTACCCTGAAAGAAACATTTACAGTGAAATTATGCTATTATAAAAATCTTAAGAAGATGGAGAATGTTATTCTGTTTTTGGCACCAATAAAAGGCATCACTGGATAGAAGGATGTGCTATTACTTAATTTCACACTCTAGCAAGTGAACATGGTGTTCATTTCATTTCTATTACTACGTTTATGAGTAATTTCTACTGTCTGTAGGGCAAACAACCGTTTATGCTGATATATTTTCCAATTAGACTTTAGATAAAAAGATACGTGCAAAGGAAAATTATCATATTAAGTCATACTGTGGGTCAAGGTCCAAAAATTAAGTAAATATCTAAGTAAATATAGGAATAAATCAGAAAGCTAATCACAATTTAATTAAAATGTTCATTGAACTTAGAACTTAGAAACTTTATTAGGGAAAAAAAAAAGGGAAAAGCCAATATATATAGAATTGTGTTCCTTTTTTGCATCCTTCTTCATGAAGATAAATTAAAAGCTTGAAGTCACCCAAATCTTATCTAAACAATCCAAGTGGATTAGGCTGAAGGCAACAGGTCTTCTAATTTAAGCCTTTATAGGACAAGTTACCATTTTTGATCACCTGCATACCCTTTACAAATGGAGTAACCTCCCACCCCTGTCCCTCAGTAACATCTACAAGCACAAGATCCAGCCATTCAGAAAAGATCCTGCTACATTGCTGTACATCTTATTTTGGCATTTTACCGATTAGATGAGCTTTTGAATGATATATTACCTACTATAAATTAAGTTGGGAAAAAAAAGTTAACAAGTCATGAAACAAAAGCTAAAAATTGAAAATATCTACATGAAAACTTAAAAAGTTAAGTTAAAGTTTATAAGCCTAATTAACAATTATATTTAGGTTTCAGGATTAATGCCTCTAAGGTTATGTTGGATCAAAGAAAAACTGTTTATTTCACTCTCAGAATGTTTTTCATCAATTTCTAATAGAAGCACTATTGTTATTTTTCTTAATATATTCAGGCAAGTTGGTGTTTCTTGTTATTACATTGATATTATTATTATTTTTTTTACCATCAAAATATCCATATTTTTGGAATTTTACAAAGGTGATAAGGTCTTGTCCTGGATTCCAATAACACTATTGGCTATTAAATTGGATTTTCATTTTATTTCACTGAGTGCCCTATAAAGGGTTAAGACTTGATGCAAAAGTTGGATAGTCAAAAAAAAAAAAAAAGTAAGCCATAAAAAAACCAATGGAAACCGGAAAAAAGAACTGCTGAACATTTTTCGAAAGGGTTTGATTGCTGTAATGCAAACACAGATTTTTCGCTGATTATTAGGACTTTATATTCAATATGTCTTTTTTTAGATGACACACAAATACATTTTTTAACTGACTCTCTTTTGGTTTTTTCGCTTTTGTACTGTGAGAGATACTTGCCTCAATTCCTATAAAAAAAAGTAATGGTCTAACTTAAGCAATGTATCATTTAAATAATTTAAGCGAGGGTTTGCGTAATCTTGTGCAAATACTTGATTACTCTCCTTGGTAGATTTGGCAGAGAGAGTTTTTTTTTTTTTTTAACAAACTCAATATTATGGAGTAGAAAAGTTAAGAATGTGTGACAAAACTTAGGAAAGAGAAAGAAGTAAAGAGTCTTGTGTGGGCCAACAAAAAAGTTGGGATGGCCCAGTTCAGCGATTTGTGAAGCATCACAAGCTGACAGGATGATGCCAGCTTAGGGCTACTGAGCACAGACATGCATCTTACCGTTGGCCAAACATCAGCGTAGATTTAGTCTCTGCATCGTTGTAGCTGGAAGGGGAGCAACAGATAAACATGGTGGTGCGGCAGTTCCCACCCAGCGAGTCCTGTAGAATACGAGTCATTTTGCTGTCACGATATGGCACATGAGATTTCTGCAAGACAAAAGGAGGAGAGAAGAAAAGGAATTTTAGATCTCAATGAATGCATTAAAAAAACAGAAGAATGAAAAAAGGTCTTCTTTGAAATAACGGTTGTTCACATTGGAATAGAAGAAAGACAGAAAAAAATTCTCTCTAACAGCTGCATTATTCAGAGTTGTACCAGTTTAACCTCCTGAATGCACTCTAAAAGGCAGAATCCTTGTACAGTGAATAGGAAATGAATGCTTGCATAGTTCTAAAGGATGAGTGCAACATTGACAGTCTGTCAGCCTTTTTTCCATTTGCTTTCCGAGGAGTTCCCTGACTCTTCAGTCTTACAGTAAAAGACACTTCAGGCCTGATCTTCTAAAGCTCTGCACATCGTAACAACATTGCAAACTTGTTGGCACTCACAGAGCTGATCTTCAAAGAAGATGCAAAGTGATTTGTGCAGAAAATAAATCAGAAAGTGCATGAAAACCGCTGAATGACTTGCGTGTATTTCTTCATCAATATTCCTTCCCTCAAAATATCATAATTTTTTATGTTTGCAAAGAAATACATGTTTATATTTAAGTTACATAAGAACTTCTATAATTACTTTCTTCAGATTAACCACTGTAGTACTTGGGAAGTTACCCCACCTACCATACCTTTCAGTTATTATTTTTTATTTTTTTCCCGTTGGCAGTCTGTGGGAGTGGGGCTCGAACTCAGAACCTCAGGATTCCAAACTCTCTGCTCAAAACCACTACGACGCAACTCACCCTGTGCCGCTGACACAGCTTCTTTCAACTTTATCAAACCAAAATACCTAATGCTCGCTGTGCTGCAGGCAGTAAGGAAAATATATGAACTTAAATTTTCCCTTCTATCCTGAGTCAGGTCGTGTCTCCATCACTTTTAATATAGCATAGTTACAGCTGCCTCAAGCCAAATGAACAGTTTAATCTTGGATTGCTCTCACCTGCAGAAAGTCTGTGCAGGCGTTCACAGCTTGTAAGCACTCTGATGGGCAAAAAAAACTCAGCAGTGTTTTTTAAGGATTTATTGTATTTTTTTTTTTTTTTTTTTTTTGTTAGATGAAGTAATAATTAAGCCTGGACCAACAGGTATTGGTAAAAGGGCTGCAATTTTTTTTGAATGTGATCAATGTGAGCACGGCTGCCCCAATGCTGCAGTGGAGGTGAATAAATAGACAGTCCTGCTGTAGAGCATAAATGTAAACATGTCACACAAACAGAAGTCTATAAAATGCGACTGGAGCCACTATGGAAAGCCAAAACAGCCACATATTTTGTAACTCAAATATTACTATATTATTTTGTAAATTAAAAAGTGGCAAGAATTATATTTGTAAAGCTAAAAAATGTCAATTACAATTATGATGCATGCATTAAATAGACTAAATAAAAATACTTTTTATACTAAATAAAAATTATGTTTTGCATCTATTTAATTAACTATTGAATTAATATTTTTCATGCATTCAGAAATGGTTACTTAAAAATGTAAATGGATGGGGGTCCTGCTTATGAAAGTAAATCCTGCTTTTTTGAGCATAATCTGCTGTTAATCTGACTGCTGCTCCTTCTCTGTCACAGAGGGATGTTAATCAAGAGAAATAAGACAACTTACCCATGTTTTATGATATTTTATCATTTACTTTACCTTGATATTAATACCCATATTTAAAGTCTAAAGATGGATTAAAATTTTCTTGTGGCAAACTGTTAAAGGGTCTAAAAGGAGATATTTTGTGGGACTTGGTGATAAGCAGTTCTTGAGGGAGAAAGGTGATAAATAATCAGTTTGTAAAGACTAGATATGTTACAAACTTCTGTTGTATAACTCTTATTTTTTCTTCTGGGCTACTTAACATGTTATAATTAAGCCATGCGCCATTTGTTCCTCAGTACATACACCAGTTCCCATTGCTTTATGCTGGATCCCGCAGTTTTACTGCCCTTTACACTCCCAGTTTCATGTCATCGCTGTTCAGGACTACTGTGTCTACTTTTCTGTTTTCTTGATGCTTCTTGAGTTTTTATGCTTTTAATCAATTAATTTGGAACTTCATACCAACAGGCAACACAACATTTATGGACACAGGTTGACAATCAATTTCAGCTCTTTCTTGCCAAAAATAAAGCTTATCATTGAAAATAATTTACTTTTTTCCCCGTAATTGGGTCAATTAACTCCTCCTATTATGCAACAAACAGGCTATCGTTATATGACAATGCATAAATTTATACTGTTATGTCTTTTGGAAATAGATAATCCACTAACTCTCATATTGAAGGCATTAATGTAGTCCCATTCCAACACCTGTATTTCATTACATCCAGGATATATTTTCCTCCGACAAGCATTAGTCATCTTTTTAAAACGAATAATTAAGAAGTCAAGCCTGAGGCAGCTACTGACGAATTAAAGGGACTGCAGAGCATTTCATTTTTCACCATACCGTTCCTTCAGCCAAAGCAGAAATGACGTTCCCTAGAGCTGACAGAGACTTGTTGATGTTCTTAGCCTCATCCAGCACCGCTCCCTCTGCACCTGTCTTACTGACCTGACACAAATACACAAACATGGCAGAAATGAGTTCATGAACAGCTTCATAAAAACGTTTAATCCAATTCTAATAGCAAAGCTTATGCATGTTCTGATACATACGGAAAAGACAGGAAACCAAATCAACGTCAACATTTTTTAAACTCTACATTTTGATCTTGGATTTTTTTTTTTGATCCCAAGCTAGGAAATTACAGTGTAGCAACAAGGCAAGGAACAAAAAATGAAAATGAAGAAGAAAAAAAAAAAGAAATAAAAGCAAGACAATAATCCTATTTACAGGAAGTATTGAAATATGAATACAGCACTAATTAGGACCAGCAATAAATAAACAGTAGTACAAAAACTATATGGTAAAGTAAGCTTAAGATGTGCAGCATGCTATGAAAAACAGTTAAGAGCTCAGACAGGTCTTATTAAACACTGTAATGGTGGAAGATTGTAAAGATTTTCTTTATCTGTCCCTTCGACAGCAGAGCTGAAACAGTCTGTTAGAGAAGATGATCTGCTCTCTGTCCAGTGTATGTTGGAAAGGGCGCTCCTCATTGTCTATGATGGATAACAGTTTTTTAAACACCCATCTCTCTACAACAGTCCCCAAAGACTCCAACCTGAGGCTGAATACAGATCCAGCCTTCTCCATGTTCTATTCCAGTCTGCTGGAGTCTCTGGCTCTGATGCTGCTGCCCCGACATACAGCAGCAAAGAGGATGGCGCTGACAACAACCAACTGTTGTATTTTGTTTTTTTTTAGTTAATTTAATAATGCACTACCTTTAAGTATGTTGCCTCTGAGAAAAAAATAATATTTTTATGTCTTTTAAATCCTCTTCTTCTGATTTTATATAGCATTAAAGATTAAGCAAACTTGTAGAGAATCTTAGAGGTATCAAAAATATAAAAAAAAAATATTTTGTGCTATTAATTAGTGCTTTATCTTACAATTGTAGTATTTTTAATCATTTTATTTTTTTAATGGATGGTCACACTTTTAGTGCATTTAAAAGACCTCTTGGCAAGGAAATCTTTCACATTTATTTTATATAAGCATTTTATTAACAACTTTATTTTATTGGGATTTTATTAACTATATCATCACAAAGCTCTTTAAAGAAAGGCTGCGTTTTTTGCCATGAGGAAGTTACATACAGATACACACAGATTTTATTTACCAGTTAGATGACCTGTAAAGACAGTTGATACGTTTTTACCTAAGACTGTAAGGTCAAAGGTCGCACAATACAAATGCAATCAACTTGCTTGAAACAAGACAAAATATAAATCAAGTATGCTATTTCTACCATTTCATATTTCTACACAATTTTTTTGTGTTATTTTTGGGTTGTAACATTTCCAATTCTGGGACAAGAAAAGTTCAAAATGACATGAATACTAATGCAGCATCCTCTGTGTGAATAAATAACACAGTAATTCTATAACAAGCTAATAAATATAGTTGTAATTTCTTCCCCTACTCATATACTTTTATCTTTTATATATTGGACAGTGCTTGTAAAATCAATCACATGCTTTATTTGGTTCATTTGGTTTATGCTAACGATATTTGGGCTCTATCAACTGTATTTGCAAAACCATATTATTAAAGCACTTCACTGGATTTATTTAATCAATCATTTTTAATAATCAAGGTGCAGTCTGTTTTCCAAACTACCATAATTTGTTAGTTTTACTTTTAATTAAAGTTTGAATAATTGATAAATCACTTGATGAACTTTAAAACCTTTATTGTCTTGATTTAACTATTGTGTAATGATTAAAGGAAAGCAACATGAACAGTCACTTAATAGGGGGTGTTTTACTGAGAAGACATTCAAGTTGGTGCATATCTATTTTTTATTTCTTGCATGTCATATTGAGCATCTACAAATAGAAATAGGTCAACATTTATGAAATAGCCAAAGTGGTATTTAACAGGGCACAATCAATAGAAAAAAAAATTGATTTCCTTGTGAAAGAATAATCGCTCTCTTCAGCACAGCTTTGTTATGGACTCAAAACAACCAAAAATAACATTAGCAGCATTAATTCCTTGTTTCTGGGACTGGTTTCTGAATATTAACAATTAATTTAAAGACTAAATAAATCTGTACTTATACATTAGCATAGTGTAAAATGTTGAAAAGAAAGATAGAAGATGCGGCAATGTTTTCTGAAGATTTCTCAAAACTGTTTTAAAGCATGGCATACAGTGTTCTAATTGTCATGGGATCCAATTAGAGCTAGATAAAAGGGAGCTTAATAACAGGACAAAGCTGCAGCATGTGTACAGTATCCTATCCCATTTTAGTATAGTAAACTTCAATAAATTGGTAGAGCAGAACCATTTCTTTATCTTCCCCAAAGGTGCCCTAAGACAACAAACAGATGACCTATCAGCACTAAAAGGCTACAAAACTCATCTGTCAGGATCTTTCAGGAACAAACAGATCTTTGCTGCTCTTGGTAGACGCTACTCCATGCTGCTCTACGTATTAAACTAGTCTTATAAACTGAAGAGTGTATCCAGAAGCAGCATCTTATTATTATGTCACAATAAATAAAATGAGCAAGCCCTATTTTGAGCTAAATATACCACTAAAAAAAAATACTGCTATTTAATTAAGTCTTTAGTCTCAATTTGTCTGACAATTTGTTGTCACACAAAAAATATATTAACAAATGAAGACATGAATTGCTTGTAGTGTGAGTCAGTTTTTTTTAACCCTGCTTCTATAGGCATATTGTCCTCCATGTTTTAGATTTTTTTTCTCCTGCATACACACCTGATTTAAAAATACAGGTGATATAGTAAGCTTTGGCTGCCTTGATGGTTGGAAAGGAGATAAACTGAGTCTTTTATTTAGGGAGCAGAAATACAAATAAATATGGAGAACAGTGGGTCTAGAAGACCAGGGTTGAACATCTCTGCTGTAAAATCTAAAACCACTTATTGTCGGCTTTTCTGACCAGATACTGAAAGTAACATATTTTATTTAAAGCTGGTAAACATCATGTATTATGAAGGTAGCCAATGATGGACAACCAAATTTTAATTACTTTAAATCACTGATCTACAAACGTTTGCAAAGTCAGTCGTCACATTTAAGAATCTCCGGAAGGGGTTTCCCACTCTTGCTCAAAATGAGAATGAGCATAATATGGAGACTTTAGCTCAGGACAGCTTTTAGTCCTGATTGTCCAACTAGCAGGAAAACCCTAAAAACAGCAATTAAAACTATGTCCAGCCAGTCATAATTTTAGCTTATGTATAATTTATAGGCAATAATTCTGGATAATGTGCCACAAATGTGCATGGATGAAAGTTATTGGATGCAAGGCATGGTATGTTGTCTTCTATAGCCATGTATCACGAAGGTTTATAGTTCTGGAAACTGCTTATTTATTCATGTTGGGTATTATGCTGCAAATGCATTCATGTAGAGTCATACTACAGGCTCCATTACATAGTTTATTATTTTTTTAATCATGTTAAATAATTTACTCTGCATTGAATAAATAATAAAAATGTAATTGTTAATATTAAAGTAAAAGATTTAGCACAAAAACTTGAATAGAATAAATGTATATACCCTATAAGATTAAAGGTATTGCATTAAGAAAAAAAAAACATTTTTGAAACAAAGCCTTTAAATGACACGGTTGGTATGCAATTATAATAAAAAGAACCACTATAACTTTTAGCAAAATATAAAACAGCACCTACTCCAAAATTATGGTTGCTGTGAGTTCAGATTTCCCAGATTTGATTAATTATCCTGCATGTCGTATCCTCAATGTGAACTACATGTAATTTATTACATCATTTACCTCCAGTGCATCTATCTACAGTGTATCCACCCCTTTTAAAATAATTGACATTCAATCTGCTGCTCTTGACCTTGGAGGGAAGGAGCCTAACACAATAAACCTCTTCAACTACTACTGATACTGCTCATACTGCACTAACACATGCTAGAAAATCCTGTGTTTGAACCACACCATAGGGAACTTCATGCGTGGAGCATGCTCTCCCCTGACAGGCGTGGGTTCTCTATGAGTTCTCTTCGGAACAATCAAGTTAAATGGTCTTGACTTACATTGCATTAGGGGGGAGTGTAAGTGGATGCTTCTGTAAGTGTCTTAGGGTCACAAGAGAAGTCTAGAACTGTCTCTGCTCTTGGTATACATTTGATTAAAAAAGCTTTTTAGTTTTTCTGCTAACAGAGTCATTAAGTAGCTATTTTAAAAGCAGACCCTATTGTTCTACCTAATCTTTCTATCAGACACATCAGCCAGATGGAATGTTCACTGTTCAGGATGGCAGACAAGCTTTGTCTTTATGAAAAAAAGGAATGACTTTTATGTCTTTAACCTTGTTTTACACAGTTGATAATAATCTAAACGTTTAATTGAACCTTTGTGACATTTTGAAGATTGGAGTTGTTTAAGGAAGTAGAAATCTCGCCCCATCTCTGACTACTTTTTAGCTCTAAAACTCCTTGTTGTTTCTTTACAATGAAGATACAAATAGAGCAGGTAGGATATCTACTAGTTATAACATCTTAGGAAAAAACACTGCAGGATTTAAATTTGGAATGATCCATTTAAAGTTTTCAAAGAAAATACCAACTTAATTTCTACCTTCTCACTTCCAGCGAGGTCAACCAGGTAAAGCTTCCCACAGAGTTTCTGCTCCGTCTCTACATTTTCTTGTTTGATGTTTATCAGGAAGATGCTGTGACTGCGAGAGCTATGCTCATTCATATCTAGGAGTAAATATAAAGAAGAGACAGGGTCAAACGGAGCAGCCTTTAGTCAAAAATCACTTTGATTTCACTTCTTTTCCACAGACTGAATGAAGCTGATAAATCCCCACACTACACTTCACAAATCAGTCATCCACTGAAAAAAAAAATGACATGAAATAAGTGACAGCATGAGCACCAAACCATCAGGAAGATCAACGGATTGACTCACTGGTGACTGCAACGTGACGATTGGCCTTCCCTTCATCTATCACATCCATCACTTCCTCTGGACTGGTGACAAAGCGCTCTGTGCAGCCCTGAATGTATTGAATTAGTAGATCACAATTATACAGTTTATGCTGTAACAAAGAAATGTTCAAAGAGTGTATGTATGACTATTGAAAGAATGCATAAGCCTAAATCAATCTAGAAACAAAAAGATCTTGCCATTTGCAAAAATTTTCTGAAGTTATACCCTAAAACGCATGAGAACGCAAAAAGAGTCGCATGATCCCAAAAATAGAATTAACAGCTTTTATCTTTTATCTCTGCTTTGAGTAAAGATCCTACAACTCAGTTGCAAGAGTGTGAGATTTGCTGATTGCTTATTTGTTTAGAGATAAATGACAGCCAACCTAAAAGTTAGTGAGCTACATTAGAAGATTGATGGCACTCTTCATCCTTTTTCAATGCAGTAATGAGGCAGCCAAATGATGCTTATCTGAGTCATTGAAAATAAAGCAAACGCTACCTCTGCTTCTGTCAGACGATCAGGCAAAGCCCAAACATCAAGGATAAATATGTAAGTCATTCTCCTCATGTCTAGAGGTACAATAAATACACTTTTCAACTAATTTGTGCTAAAAGTATCATCCTGCCGAAAATCAACTAAATGAGATGCATCTTGAAGCTAATGCTGAATAAAATCCTTCATTTTCTGAGTATCAAAAGATCATTAAGTACCGAAAAACATCTGCTAAAAAGCAGCTATTTGAACAAAACATGAACTGGCTTCATAAAATTGTGATACATTTTCCAGGGGCAAACTATGAAAAAACATAATTTGTGAAATAAAACAAGAAATTTGGACATGTATTATAGTTGTATTCTTTATATGTGTCATGATGTGGGCGCTAATGACTGGTCTGCTTACTCATTTCCTTTACCTGCTTATCTCTGCTCAGTTCTCATTACAGTTCATCTGATCCACCTGCTCCAGCATCTATTTAACCAGCATTCAACCAGTTATCAGTACCAGATTATTCGAGCCCTTGGTGAGGGTTGTCTAGCCTATCTGAGTGTTTCTAAATGCCTGATCCTGACCCGTTCTGCCTCAGGATATCTGAGCCTGCCGGTTCCTGTTCTGATCTGTTTGCCTAGCCTGTCCTCAGATTCCTGTTGGATTTCTGCCTGTGTACTGAACTTGGAACTGATTCCTGACACCGTCTTGAATATCCCTTTCGGTAACTCTTCGGATATCTGATCTCCTGGCCCTGACTCTTGAACACCTCCTCGACACCGGCTTTGGCTTCACCCTATGGATTATCTTGCCTTCCTTCGTCTGCTCGGTTCTGCTCTCCTGTCTGTCCTCCGACCTCAGGGACATCAGCCTCTGGGACTCTGTGGGCTTTGCCCGCCATGCCTTGTTGGCTGCGCCTTGTTGGACTGGCTGGAACCAACCTCATCGCCTGGGTACAGACTGAACTTTAAGACCAGGTTAGTGTCTCACACTTTCATTATCATCCTCCATCAGATAGACATGGTATCTAACCTCTGTTCTTCCCCTGCAGGGGGTTCCTGGCTTAGACGCCGACGCCGTTCTCTACAGTTCCTTCTTAAATAAACATTTTATGAAACCTAACTGTCTCTCCACCTCGAAAACCAGGTCCTCTTGTTCTGAGCCAGACAGTACGTTGTATTTTATCTCATAATTTTTAGTAGATAATAATGAATTAAACATGGTTATAAAGCTCTTCACCTTAAACTAAAAGAGGAACAGGGGTGTAAAATAAAACCATGCTCCTTGGTTCCTCTGCTTTGCATGACTTTATGCTGCCGTCTGTTTTTAGCTGAATGGAAGAGGGTAAAAAGTCTGTAAATGGATTATCATAGTATTTGTTTTTGATGTCTCTATTTTTTATGTCTCTAATTTTAACAGGATTCACATACGAAAGCAACTGCAGTTGTGGTTGCAAGATTTTGGTTAGTATTTATTTTGACTTTTTTAGATTAAACTAGTGGTACTAACAAGTAGTGTACAATGTCTGTGAACATATTTCTTTAAAATGTTATAAAAAGGCACCGAATATTCAGCTAGTTATTTGAGCTGAACATGTTTTCACTTATCAGCTCAGATTGAAACATTTTTTTCTTTTTCTTCTTAATATTTGTTTTTTTTTTTTTATGAGTGAACTGAGTAAAATGTGTTCTTATGGACTTAAAATGCAAACAGAACTCTGCCTGGTCACTCAGAACTACAAGTCCCACACATTTCCCAAAATGCAATAATCTCACAAATTAACTTTGAATCTTAAGGCAAATCATAGGTCAAAATAAACTTCAGCATAAAAACTCAACATCAGCAAAGTTAGAAAGTCTAATATGTTGCAAAACTGAATAATATCCGAAGCTGACTCACCTTCACATAGGGAACCCTATATTTGTCTTCATGAACTGACAGGTTGGTTTTTGTTACTGCAATGACATAAGAGAAGAATGAGGAGAAAGGATGCCTAATTCTATGTGTTTTTGCATATACATGTAATGTGAACTGATGATTTTCTTTTCATATTTGTGACCCAACATCTATGAATGCATTGTAAAAACATTAAGACAGTCTATAATTGTTTTTAGATTTTCATCAATCTATTCCTGTCAAAATCAGTGAGAAGATAAATGGATGCCTTTGTGGAAGTGAGGGAACAAAATACAGTACTTATACAAAGGCTCCTACTCATTATTCTGCATTTGTAATTTCGAGCCATATTATGTTGATTATAATTAAAATTCAAAGAATAACAGCGATATTTTTCCTTGTAGATATCTGGGTGTAAATGTGAGCTTTTATAACCCTCTGGTATCTAATTTTGCAAGCAAATTCCCACTGAGGGTTTTTTTCTGCACTCGTATAATTCATCTTGCTTGTTGTTGACTCTCAGGTTGCTCATATTTTGAATATCTCTCAGATTAAATAAACCCTAATGCATACAGATGGAGCTTTTGACCACTGTCTGAAGGCCCATAAAGATTGTAATCAAAGGAACCGTGCTTACAGCTCTTCATCCAAGGCTCTCCATCATTTAACAGATTTTATGTGATTTTTATTCTATACGATAATACCATATAAGCTGCAATGATGTGGTAAAAAAAACACTTTTTCTTCCCTTCTGGCTGAACCAAATAAGCAGAAAATGTTAATTTCTTGTCCAATTAATATAATATTTATTGTTATTGTGGGAGCCATTTAATTGCTAATACATTGCATGATAAGACCAAAGTGCATTTGACTGCAAATTTAAAACACATCACAAGGAAAATGTACTGATTCTTCTTTGCAGTCATTTTTTGTGTGCCTCCTCATGCCCCAGAGAGCAACTTAAAGGTTTTCCTTCTGCATAAAATGAACTCTTTAATCTAAAGCATAAAGCATACCATCAAGGAGATCCCGGATCTTTTCCATGTAGATCTCAAAGTAGGAGACCTGCAACACAGCCAGAAACTTAAAAAACACAGTATTTCTCCCTGGCAGTCAAACATGGAATCTAATACTGCAAGTTCAGAGAGGCAGAAGAGAGTGTGAGGCAAAAAATACCCCAAACCTTTGAAATATTATTAAAATATCAAATCTTAATGTATTTTATTGGAATTTTTAAGCAATAGACTGGCATAAATTGCACAGCTGGGAAGTGGAGGGAAATTTCTGCATTATTTTCATTTATTTTTTACACCATAAAGTCTCAAAAACCTGGGAGATATACAGTATGCATTGAATAGGAGACTTGCTCCCCTAGAATAATATTTCTACCCATTGGTTTTTGCAGAATAGTTCGAGCTTAGACATGGTGACCTTCCGAAAAGCAATTTTAAATCTTGCCATGGATTTTCATTCTAAGTAGATTTGAACTTTGACTGTGCCATTCTCACACATGGATACCTTTGATCTAAAATATTCCCCTTGCAGCTCTGTCTTTGGTCTTTGACCTGGGGGAGGGCAAAACTTTCCCCAGCCTAGAGTCTTTTGTTGTTCAACAGTGCATACGGTCAGTTATAGTCTGTTTAAAATAATATCACCTTTAGAATAGTTTATTAAAGACTCACTCCCTAAAATAATGTGTGATTAGGCAGAGAAACACCTTAATCAATAGCACTGATTTTAATCTGAGTATAAATATTATAGAGCATTAGTGTGCCATTAGTGTTAGTTTTCTTTAGGGGACAAAAACCTGCTGTCTTTAAACTGCTTTTATGACACAATTCACACTTCAGAATCAAGAAAACTTTGGGATTTTTCCTAAAACTTTATACAATTATGAATATTTAGTAAAGGATTTTTTTTTTCTTATTTAGCATCTTAAGTAACTGATATAATTGATAATTCAAGTCTATAACATTTAAACAGAGTGTGTAACTCATTTGGCTTTTTATTAGCAAAAAAAAAATTACATCAGAGATCTTGAAAGATAATCAAAGATTCAATAGACAACATTCTCACATACATCATCAGAAATGCATTCAAAGCAACACAAACCTTTATATGAAACTCCAGGTTCTCATCCATGGCGAATATGTGTTCAAAAATGTCCTGGGCTATCCTGGGAATGATTCCCATTGCATTGGGATCATGAAGTTTCCCCTGCAGGACACAGAAAGGCTCTATAACGGCATACGAATGAACAGCTTGATAAAAGAAAAACATTCTGGGTGGAATTAAACTGAAAGAACAGCATAAAAGGAGAACATTGGGGATTTTTCTACTTGAAGAGGGCTAGAGCAGTTTCCCAGGGAGAGTTGAAAAAGAAGATGGTTCCCACAGAAGACTAGGATTGAGAGATAAAGGATGGTGGCTGTGATGAAGGTGGGTATACTGCCATGATTGCTGGCAGAGGAGAAGATGACAAAGATGAAGGAAGGAAAAAAAGTAACAAGCTTGTGTGGTAGCGTGCATGTATGTGCCACAACAGAAGGGTTGTCTTTGAATTATTTAGGAATACCGCACCTCCATGGTGTGTGTTTTTCCTGAAGAGGTCTGCCCATAGGCAAAGATAGTCCCATTGTATCCACCAAGTACATCTAAAACGAAGAAAAAAGGAGGAAAACATGTTAGAGAAGGAGAAAAAAATAACAAATAGGTAAAAATAAAATAAAAAAATGGCACCTGAGCTGCAGCTGTGCTTACATGTAATCAAGAAGAGAAGGAGTGCCCAGAGAAAGATCAGTCTATTTGACCTTTGATCCTCATGTTAACCGTGAAATATGTGGTATTTAAGCTTGAGTGGATCCTGAACGGCCTCTGTGGCTGCACACAATAAACAACAACTACCTGAAGCTTTTAGCATCACCAAGAGGGACTCAATCAGGTTGCAACCAGCAGCAGCAACCTTATTCTCTCCATTCATATGGAACCATGACAAATAAAGAAAAGAAATGCACAACAACAAATTCACCAGCTGAGGTAATAAAAAAACCCACATTGCTGAATGTCATATTGCTGACACAGACAAATAAACCAGCGGAGAAAAAGCCAAACATATCATTGTGCATGACTGGCCACAGTGCAGAGAACCACAAACAAATCAGAAAGGCTCTGAGTTGAAACCATGCAGAACCCTGTTCCCCTGTTTCTTGTCTGTCTGTGCAGGACTTTGAAGACACAACAACATGTCTTCCCTCACTTCCACGCAGGTCAGGGTGAGAACATCACAAACAAAAAGCAAAAATAATGAGTTCAGTGGTTGAAGCCGGATACCAAGTCAGCAGGAGATTTGAGAGCAAACACAAGAGAGAACATTGCTGAGGATAAGAGGATAAGAGAAAGAAAAAACCCCACAAGTATGACTTCATCGCAATAAAATAGCCCAATAATCTGTTAAGAGAAATGACATTGTTCATAACAACTATGAAGTAGTCTTTTTACAGTTTTAATCAATGCCGCTTTATTGTTTGCATGCATGTTAGGATCTGTGCTCTTTAGGTTTGACTCATTCCAGTTTCTGTCTTTATATGTTTTTTGTTTGTTTTTCTCAGGAATTTTCTTACTGGAGAAAAAGGAGAAATTGTATTGGTGTTTTAATGGACAACTGGAACAGTCCTTGATTGCTTGATTGGGACTGCATTTGTGGCAGCTTGTGCCACCACATCTTGCGGGTGACTTACATCTCAATATATTTTGACTACTTAATTTTCCATAATTTATGGTGACGTAGATGGCCATGGTACCTCAACAGCCCATACCACTCACTTCTCTTATTTTATTATACGTTTTTTAATAACAATGTTTTCCTATTTTTAGATTAATAGAGGCTTTATTAGATTGGAAATGTGAGACTATTATTTTAAAATTTGTAGGAGGGTGTATTGTGGAAAAGCTTTCCTAATCTATTTTCCAAAACTGGGTTGGGTCATATTGAGTCCTATGATGCAATCAATTGCTTTATATAATGTAAAGGCTTTTATTTTGTAGAGCACTGTGTGCTGGATTTTGAAAGTCTGGCAAGGACAATAAAGTATTTTTATAATCATAATCAAATTTTGTTTTGATGATGTAGTTCTGCACATAAACTAGCTAACATATGGTTAGAACAAATAAATATAGGAATATAGATAACATTTGGAATAAAAAATGCAGTTGTTTATGAAGAGCACCACGTCAGCTATTAAACAATAACAGAATGAAATTAAATATACACATGAGCTGAGATGTTTATTGTTTTAATATGTTAAGGTGGAACAATAAAAAACACAAAAGAGAGGGAGCCTCCGGTATGTTTTATAACCTTTCTTGATTTCCTTCTTCTAATTTCTGATTCCTTCTGACGACTGTCAAATATCTCTATCTCAAATTGGGAAATGCTTACCCAGAATTTTCCACACTTGTACCGCTGCCCATGTTGATCCTTTAATTTCATCTTTCCTCAACCCTCAAGGTAATCCCTCACTCTAAGCAATCTTGTGCACCAAATCAATCTTTATATCATGCCCTAGTTCACCACAGTTTCATGCTTTGAAGGTAAAGAATAAATACAACCCTAACAAGAAAAAAAAAACATAGAGGGAAAATGAGACGTGGAAAAAAAAAACAGGATTTAAGCTCTTGGGTTTGTTTCTTTGATTTAAACCCTCATGGGTAATAATTGTGTGAAAAATTATTATGTAAACTCTTTTCCCAGGTATGAATTGCATTGTTAAATAATATAATGTTTTAAGTCAGCACAAAATCTTACTAAACCTTTAAGGCAGCCAAATTCCTTCAGCCACTCCAAACTGGTGTTGATTAGATTTTTTCTTTTTTCAAACACTTTTCATCCTAAAATAGAAACTTCAATCTTGCTAAGGCTGCTTAATGTTTCTCATTTAAAGACTAGGTTGAGTGCGATCAATGATTTTCTACAGATTTAAAGCATTGTAAGGAAACATATCCAGTTGTGTTCTGACACTACAGCTCCTATGTCTCATTAAAATGTGGTTGAAAATTTGGAAATCCTCATTTCCATGTGAGGTCAAGCATGACATTACTGCACTTAGTTCCTGACTAATAGGCTTGCTCTACCGACTGATGTCACCACAATCCGTATCACAGCTGAATAACAATGTTTTGTCACAATGTGCATTTATATCTATAAATGTTGGTATTTGTGGGACTAGCATCAGTAATAGAGATTAGGGGAGACCATTAATATTGCTAAAAGCGTATGGAAATATGCTTGAGAGGAGGTAGGTAAAGTAGGATAGGTTTCAAGAATTATCTTAGAAAGTGTCATCCAACATACTCTGCAACATAAAATCCAACATCTGTGCTTTTCACTGATAACACTGAGGCTTCAAGTCTGAAAGCTATACTCTGACTGCTATAAAATCATAGACACCTAATCAGCAGTTCAGTGCTCTTATCCTCCTCCCTCACACCTTATTTCTAAATGAAATATATAGAACATTTCCAACAGTCTGACAGGTGTAGTTTACATTTAAAGTACAGCTTGCAAATCTCTGAAGTTACCCAAGTCTCAAAACAACAAGCACAGCTGGGTCCTTTCACAATTTGTCTCCTTATACATATACTATGAGCTCTGATAGCTTGGGAAGCACTCTACACCACTGTCTCTATGTGGAAAATTAATGATTTAGCTCACAGTTTTTAAATAGAGATACTGTGGATTGTTGCAGCTGCTGCTTAGATTGCTTCTACCCCCTACTTTAGGCCAGGTCATGTTCACTTTCTTTCTTTCTTTCCTTTTTTCTTTCTTTCTTTCTTTCTTTCTTTCTTTCTTTCTTTCTTTCTTTCTTTCTTTCTTTCTTTCTTTCTTTCTTTCTTTCTTTCTTTCTTTCTTTCTTTCTTTCTTTTATATTAATAATAAGCTATGCTTCTCACATGACAGCATCAAAGCAAAGTTTTCACTTCAGGAAACAGGGCTCAGCCAGGATACTGTAGAAAAGGTTCCTGTCTATGTGAAATAGCATGATAATTGTTGAATATTCCTGAAAAAGTTTTTTCTGAATGATTTTGTTTTTATTAAATTGTTACAGTTTTTTGTTTATTATTATTTATTATTTCTATTTATTTTTTTACATTCCCTAAATGTCAAAAATATAACATACTTTATAAATTGTGAATATCACAATGCCCGTGCCATCTCTCAGTCATCAGGGGCATGACACCAACAAAACAGGCTTAAATTGGAGGGGAGGCAGCGTCTCACCCATCACCATGACAAGTACATTTTATGATTCAATGACAAAAACAAAACATTTTCCACTTGACTGTTAAAAAAAGTTTTCTGTGTGAATTTTCTTTGGTCAACATCATTAAATAAATGAATCAGCGATGTAAAAATATGATATTGGAGGTGAAGTGAGGCAGGAAATAGCTCAGCCTCACTTCTGGTGATTCTGTGTCACACATAACTGAATGCTATTGCTGTCTTTCTATATCGCCAATATACAAGTTTTATTACATATGTGAAAAACATACTGAAGTTCCACAACCTGTCCTTAATATTTTATAATTGTTCGTGATAATTGTTTTATCTTTCTAGCCCACTACAAATCCACTGTGAAAATGGACAGAGGGAAGCAAAAAATACCATGCTTCACTGATATCGGAGCTCCATAAGCATGTCCAGGTTGCTGTGTACATTCAATTTGGTATTTTAAAAATAAATGGATTTTTTAAATTGGATTTACAGTCTTAAAAGGAAGTTTCAGAGAAGCAGACCAACTCAAAAGCTTAAAGGGTCATAGTCACATAGTTTTACTTATATGCCTGTTGCTCACTCCAGTTACGTACAAAAATTTGATTAAATAAATACAAAAAAAAATGCTTTACTTATCAGAAAGGGAAATTAGATGCTCAGAGTTATCCATAATGTTCTTCATTTAATTTCACAAATTATTCTTTGTGAAATTGTCTCTAGAGGTTCTAGAGGAGTTCCTAGAACAGAGCTGGTCTTCTTTGTTAACTTATTGAGCTTCTCCAAATCAACACTTTAAATCAGTCTACAACAGACTTATAGAAGATATGGAGCATCTCCCTGCAAACATTAAAGGACCTGGCACCAGAAAAAAGACAAGAATAAGAATTTACTTTTCACATAATGTTCTGATAGGACGCTCCAGGGAAGATTCACTATAACTGCTGCAGATGAGTTAATTGAACTAATATTGCTTGGTCTGCAACTATGTCTGGATGTTGCTTTTTCGTGAGGCATTGTAGGGCTATCAAACTCGTCGGGTACTATTAAGTAGCTGCCTCAATTGTTCCCATCTAGTTTTCTGTTAGTTTTGCAAGTACTACTGGCAGGTTGTGAACATGGTGGTTTGTTTATGTCTACACATCATGTTTGGTGCTGGAATTCAATTTAGGCTCACAAAGAATTATCAAAACACCATCAGAATGCACACTTTGTGTATATACTTTATTTTATCTTGATCACATGGTTTTTGGTCTTTTTTTGTAGGCATAAATAACTCTACCCCTTTAAGCATCTGGACATGCTACTTTCAATCTAAGTGGGACCCAAATGAGTTTTAAGCTACACACATTGATTTCTTATTGAATAGGCAGCATAGACTAAACATCACCAACATGAAGGTTGGGGACTGGAGGTTTTCAGTAAAAGTCTAAATAATAAGACCTGCTTCCTTCATGTAGACTTCATGTAAAAATAAAGGTAATCTCATACATGGCTTTCAGTTTATTTATTAAAAATAAAGTCATTTCAGCCAAAATAGAAAAACAATATTTAAATTTGACCCTTTTATAAAATAGTTTTCTTGATATGTTGTCTGTTATAGCATAATAGAAAGCTTTAAAAACAACTAAAAATGTCGATAAAAATTAAGCTAAATTATTTGTATTATATTATTTTGGTTTCATATTGTTGAGCTTGAGGCCTCACTGCACATTACTGATTTCTATAAAGGCTGGAATGACAATACTTGACTTTTGAGCCATAAATGTTAAGAAAAAAGTCTGATATCATTACAATGTTGATGCTTCCAGTACTAATAATTTGATCCTGGATTCTGCTTCTGAAAAAGGTATTTTTCCTCAAACCAGTGATGCTGAGAGAAGCAACAAACCTCTGGGAAGGGCGAACTCTCAGTACCAGGGGTCGTAATTGTTATTGCCAACCCAGTAGGGGACCCCAGAGTGAAAAAACACACACACAAGCAATTTCCCTATAATGTTGCAGAAATTAAGTTATTGGCAAAACATATTCTGGAGAAAACAGTCAAAATATGCCTGAAGATATTTATCTCTTTATCATTTGAATCTTTTTGTAGAAATTGTCCCAGTGCTTGCCCCATTTGCCATGTTTAAATCCATTTATCCAGTTTAATGTTGTTTCAGCCCTCTTCCCCTCCAACATGTTTCTGTTAACTTGTATAAAGGAATAATCTGTTGTTTAAATATAGGAAATGTAAGAACTGGTAAACCATGTCTTCTCCTCTCTCAGAGACGATGCTGTCTACTTCAAATTTAACAGTTTTGATCTATTTAATTTACATTTCGTTCCTGCCTCATGCTATGTGGTAATCAGCTGATAAAGAGCTTAATTGAATTGTTAATTACTTTTTCAGCCAAACACACCCTTATTGAAAAAAATGGCATCCCACCTGAAAGCAATTAAACTCAATGACTGTGCAAGGTTAAAGAGTGTTGTGCTGGGAAAGAAAAAGAAAAACACGTTGCAAATTCTTTAATATAGTTCCTGCAGTTTCTTTATACTTTAGTGTTAAAATAATATGCATCTTTTGAATCTGTTTGAATATTATTTTAATCCCATACACATGTGACTAAAATGTCATGAAAATAGGTTTCCTGTTTGCTGCAAGGAGATGCTGCTGCTGCATACATCACTGACAGAGGTACAGACTGTCAATGCCAACACAAAGATCAAGAATGAGAGGATATGCTAATACAAGGAGGTCGGCTGTCTCTTCTTTCTTCCTTCAGCGCTTGTATCACTCTTGCATCTTAACGAGTAAAGGCACAAACATTTTGTTTGCTCACCTCTGACAATCTGTTTGGCACATGTATTGTAGACTTGCTCCTGCGTGGTGTTGGTAGGGAAGACCTGGTCAAACACATATGACTTCCCCTGTGGAAGGCAAAAAAACATATTGTGAGCTATGACAGAGAGTAATGACTGGCTAAAATGAATCCTATGAAAAAAAATCTGTTAGATTTGTAAAAATGTATATATTGGAAAGAAGGTACTTTTTTTAATTTTTATTTCATATCTATATTTCATCAAAACCTATGTACCAGAATGCAATATTTAGTGTGATTTTTTTTTATGCTTTGTTGTTCAAAATCTGTGTGAAATGTCTTATTTTCAGAAGGTGCAGAATAAATCTCTACATATATTTTATGCAGCATGTGTTTTGATTGGAGTGCTGCGGGGGCAAACTTTAAGTAAAGACTGCTCGACCTCAAGACAGCCAGACCGACAGAGATTCACTCTGAGGTAAAGCTATTAGAGCTAGCGTTGAAGGTCTTCAAGAGTGAACCGATGCATTGGAAAGAAGAAATGGATTGGAGGAGGAGAGCAGAGGGGTATAAATGCAGAGAGTGCAGATGAAAACAGATGACCTGAAACCAGAGTCTGCATGCAAGGAAGTAAGCAAGAAGGAAAAAAAAAAAGAAAAGCGAGTTGGTTTTTGAATTATTTATACTCGCAACCAGAAATCCACTCATTTGTTAGTAAGGAACTGAAAAAACATGAGCAGAGCACCAATTTATCTTTCATTTAATAGATCACATTAAGCTAGAAAAGGTACTCATCCCCCTTATTATCTCAAGCAGTACAGCCATTACAACCTCATTTTTTAGATAGAAATGCAAAACACAGTGCATCATGGTAAAGTGGAAGGTCAAGGTTATGAGTTTTAAAACAACCTGCTGCAATTATAAATTATTAAGGCATGCTACACATAACATCCCCATAACCTACATCAGAGTTTGCAGCTGTTGGATTTCAAAATATGAAAACTTAAATAGGTATAACTACTTTTTAAGGCTCCATGTACAAATAAATCTGTCAAAATAACCAATTAATCCTGTGCTCAGTCAACCTCTCATACTGGTTAAGAAAAGATTCTGTGATGCCCTCTTAAGAAAACAAACAACCCCCAGCACCTTCAGCCATTATATTTAGAAGCCAATGTTCCTTGTGATTATTTCCAACAAAAAACCCAAAAAAACAACTAGATGTAATTTTTGTGTTTGTTTTTTTTTATATTCAAACATAAATCTGAATGAGCTGTTTTAGTTTAAAGAAGGTGAGGGTGTAGTTATAAGCTTTAAAGCTGTACATACCATGCAACCCACATCATGCTGCATCTGAAATAAATCTCTCAGTAACCTGGCGTTATGATTCTGTCCTAACCGTTCACCAATATTTACGTTCTGCTCAGCTTCTTACTGCCAAGCTAAGTGAATATTCATTCCACCTCTGATAACGACGGCCACTCCCAATCAGCCCGACTTAGCTCACCTTCTCTCTGAGGTTTATAAACCTCTCCAGGTTATATAGTTAATACCAGATCCTTGAAAGCCACCATACGCATAGATATACAGCGTTCTTGCCTTACCTTGCCAGTCTTCCTGCCTGATATTTTCTTGTTTTGTTTACTGATTTCCCTGTCTCATCTTGCCTTTTCTGGATTTTCTTGAAGTTCTGAGGCCTTTGGATTTGTTTTTCCTGAATCGATCTCCATGGTTCTGAATTTCCTTTCATTCTCTGACCACAGATTCAAGCCTCATATCTGGATCTGCTTTTCTTTGAATGATACTAAATTGCCAAACCTGTTTTCTGAATCTGACTGACGAGATCTGCCTAGCCCTAATTTAGTTTAGTTACCTCCAAAGTTCTGTCAGTGGTTGCCACTACGTATGAAGGAAGCCACTCCTTTACCTGCATTGACACTGCTGTCCGCTAACGCTAAGGAACCAAAGAAAAGGGTTCATGCCTCCACCAGAATCCTATAATAATAATAGATAATTCTTTTTCTGAATTTTGCTGAAATCTCATCTCGGCCACTAACTTGTGTCTTCTAGTGGTTCCTGTTGCTGACAGTGTATTGTTATCCAGATGTTTTGTTTTTAATAAATCTTTTTAAAGTTCATGTTTGTGTCTAGTCTAATTCTTAAGGTCCCCAATCTGTCTCATCATTACACCTAGTCTAAAAGAACAAAACTTTTTTTTTTATTGAAAATTTGCCACTATGGTACAATAAGGCCCATTTCTACTGCATTACAGGGAGTTTCTTTAAAGATCACCACAACATTATCACATTATCTCGTTGTCCATAGTCAATTCATGGTGGAAACCTGCCTGTGCAATTTCAAACTCTTAGTAATGCTAAGAGAAAGAGTAAAAGGTCACAGCTGATACAACCCTGCAGAGTAAAAGAAAAAAGAGCAGAATCCACTTTGGGTGAGTGACAGAAAGCATGTCAGAGTAATAAAGCTGTTATTTAAAAAGTACACACTAATATGGCTCTAAACTGACTCTGCTGAGACAGTATGAAGAAGAAAGGACACTAGTAGATCAATATTTCTTCTTTCATAAAACTGTGGGGAAGTAGCAACGAGAAAGAAAACAGATTATTGTTCAAAAGAAACTTATCATCCTATATGGCTTTTCATGGTTTTCCTTTGTTGCTGGTTTCTATACTAAAACAGTTAAATAGTATAATGCAGGATAGAGCATATTTTTACAAATAAATTGATTCTAATTTTTTTATCATTATATATTTTTATATATATATATATATATATATATATATATATATATATATATATATATATATATATATATATATATATATATATATATATATATATATATATATATATATATATATATATATTTATAGTAGAAAAGCACATAATTTAACTGGACGTAATTTAACTGGATAACATCCACAGCAACTTATCTTATCTACACCTGTAGTAAGCTTGACTTCAGTGAGAAAGGCTGACAATGAAATAACCTATTTATTTACTTCTACACAAGGTTATAAAATAATTAGATGAAGTAAATACTGCAATGATTTAATCTCAAAAATATATATTTTTCACATTCAATTGTATACCAGTACTTAAGAAAATTGTAATAACAAAGTCCTTATTAAAAATCTATAATGTGCTTGTTAAATCCACATATTTCAAATTTAATTTAAAATATATAAACATCTATTTGACAACCTACAGATGATGTGTGGCATTTAACAAAATGGTATAGAAATACCTAAATCTTTTTATAATCTGTAAACAGAAGCCAGATGTTGAATTCTCACCATGCAGGGCTTTTCAGCAATCAATTGTGTGCATAGGAAATAGACAAGGGTAAAATGTCTCAGACTATCAGAATGACCTCCCATGTAAAAGGCCATTTTTTAAAGGTTTTTTATATAAAGTAATTTGTTCATAGCAGTACACTGAGACATTTTGAGAAAATCCCACCTTCATTTTTTCTATAGTTTCTACTTGGCATCTCTTAATGAGCTGAGCTGTTAGATGTTACTGTAATCACAGCTGCAGGTATAAACAAGCCTTCCATCAGATGTGATTAGGATAGCTCTTTTTCCCAAGAGCCAATCGTACAACACCGATGCAAACCCAGCTAAATAACAGAGGGAGGGGGTGAGAGGTAAGACTGAGGAGGAATTATCTGCTGTCTTTGGATGGAATAGAATAAATCAGTTGTATATGCTGGAGGAAAAACTACCCTTTGACAATCATATGATTTGCCTCTACTAGTAATCTGCTCTGCACAAATATAATAGCATACAACTGTTAGATATATCTAAGCTTTTTATCTGTGCAATATGTCCCTATCTCTTGGTAGAGCACGCTATAAAAACAACAGCTTATTTGCTTGTTTGTATAACCTAACATATATCTATTCAATTGTGTGTCCAGATACTTATGGAGAGAACTACAGCAGGAAGCCAAGGGTGCATCTGTGTACCCATGCAAAAGGAAATAAAATATATGATAAATTATACACACAGCTATTGGTCGTGGGCCTCAGCATTGTGTGATGTGTCAAACACCCACATGGCCCGGCCAGCCAGCAAACTGCCACTGTCTGGCATAAAACAAAAAGACAGCAGGAGACAGACAGAGGCAAAAAAAACAAACTGCAGCTCTGTTCCATAGAGACTGGGGAACGTGAATTGTGGTGATAAAATAATGATTGTTAAAGCAGAAAGCTGAGTTTAACAAAACCAAGTCAGGACAGTAAACCAGATTATGTAAATCAGGATAATCAGGACATCATGGCAGATGGTTCCTCAAAAGAAAAAGAGAGATGGAAATGGATTCCACTGTCCAAAAACGAAAAAAAAAAAAGGGCAATCCTGTAAGGAAACAAAGTGAGCCAACAAGAAACAAAAACTGAGATGAAGGGTTGCAGTGGAAAATCCTGAATTAAGATCCCATCTATGCTTAGCAGACAATTCACATGAATTAGATTCTGAGATTTAAATAGATTCAACTCCAGAAGCAATAATATTTTGTCGTAATGTAAAACATCCAGCTTAATCTGTTTTGGTCTCCAGTTGCTAAATTAATCTTCTTTACTAAATCAAATTATGAGAATGTAGAGTCTGACAAAAGATTTTCTGGGAAAAAAAAAAATGTCATTTGTATATTTTAAATTAACATTATTGGTCAGGTGGTTCATTTGTGTTTAGTGCATCTTACACATTAGACTACTGAATTGAATATAATCCAAAATATTTTAAATTCACAATATACCCACTGTCAACTTGTCACAACATAACTTTAATTAATTATCTGTCAGAATGACTGATAATTAAATGAACTCTCTTTTCCAAGAAGGATGTAATACAAATATGATATAGTGTTGTACTGGTGGATTAATGGCTTTGGTCAAAGGATTTCAAGTATGGCTGAATATATTATTTGTATCTTCAGACAGGTTTTCTGCTATAACACTTTCTTAATTTTGGCACAAAATTTGGTATATCTTAAGTACTATTTTTAAGGGTTAATCATAAAACACAAAAAATACTGAACAGACTAAACATCACTTTTAATATTTAATAACCGTGTTCTATAAAACAA